GTCTCTGTAGAAGTAATTCTATGTCGCCCCCTCTAGGTGGCAAAGTCACTTTCTCAATCCCACAAAACCGCAAAGAAGCAACATCGTGATTCAAAGTCACAAAATGTGCCGCAACTGGATAGTTCATATCTTTTCTTCTGATCGAACTTTTATGTTCGCTAATTCTTTGTTTCAATTGTCGTGACGTTTCCCCACATAGCCGATACCACACGGACAACGAATCAAATAAACCACATGAGTGGAAACACAAGTGATCACAGATTTAATGCTATACTTTCTGCCAGTTCTAGGGTGACAGAAAAATGATGTTTTGAAAGTATTGTTACACTGGGCGCAATTACCACAACGATAGTTGCCCTTCTGTATAGGGCTTAGTAGGCTCTGAGATGTACGAGGACTAGTACTCTGAAAACGAGCATGTACTAAGCTGTCTTTTAAATTCCTAGCCCGTTTGTATACAATCAAAGGAGGATGTTTAAAGATATCACTCAACTCCGGGTCAGATGACAGCAAATGCCAGTGTTTTTTAAAAATTGATTTAATCATAAAGGACTTAGGTGAATGTGTTGTAATACAGGAAAAAGAGTACTTTTTAGATTTTTTTGTCTTCTTTCTTAACAGTTCAGAGCGTGTCTTTTTAAAGGCTGTATCGAATGCTTCCTCAACCCAATCTAAAGGGTAACCTCTGCTCAAAAAATTATTTTTCATGATTTTCGATTTCTCTACAAAATCGGAGTCAGAATGACAAATTCTCCTCAATCTGTAGAACTGACTCTTAGGCAGTCCTTTTTTCAGAAAAATAGGATGAAAACTGGTAGCGAGTAACAGTGTGTTACGATCAGTCTCTTTAGTAAACAGAGTAGTAATCAAACAACCTTCGTTCTTCTGTACCCACATATCAAGGAAGTGTACTTTAACAGAATTGATTTCAGAGGTGAATTCCAAATCATCAACCAAGTTGTTCAAAAATGTAACAAATTCTCGAGCTTCTTCGTGGTCACCCAAAAAAATACAAAATATGTCGTCGATGTATCTGTACCATTTGATGATCTGTGAATGAAAAGGATTCTTCTCTGTATTAAATATATAGCTTTCTTCAAAAAAACCCATAAATAGATTGGCATAGTTAGGGGCAAAGTTTGAGCCCATTGCTGTCCCACTTATCTGAAGAAAAAAATCATTATCAAAACTAAAATAATTATATTTCAAAAGGTAGGAAGCCATCTGGATAATAAAGTCCGAGGGAGGGCTAGAGTCCTCACGTAACGAAAGATAATGTCTAAGGGCAATAAGTCCTTTTTCATGCGAAATGTTAGTATATAAACTTGTTATGTCTAAAGTTAACAATACAGAGGCGTCCGATAAATCATGTAACTCAGAGATCTTATTGATGAAATCGGTAGAATCTCGAATGTAAGATGGTAACGAATGAACAAAAGGTTTTATAAAAAAATCAACGTACTGCGATAAAGGGGATAAGAGAGAATTGGTCTGTGCCACAATCGGACGACCTGGAGGGTCAATAAGTCTCTTATGAATTTTAGGAAGAGTGTAAAAAACTGGTCTAATCGGATGTTGACAATACAAGAATTTAAACTCCGATTGAGATATCGAACCTTCCGTTTTAGCATTTGTTAAAAATGACAATATCTCTGATCGATAGGTATTGGTAGGATCCCCAGGGAGTTTTTTTATAAAACTTAATATTCTGTAATTGTGCAAGAATTTCGTGTTGGTATTTTTCCGAATAATTTTTGTTAATGGTCACCATTGTTGAGATTCATATACTGATTTTTGATGTCTGTTTAAGTCAGCAAGATACCATAGTGTTTTTTTAAAATCTGATTGTAACAACAATGGGCCTTGCAGCAGAATCACACTTCTTTTATAATGAATAACACAAGTTATATATCACCCATTTAATCAGAGATTATTCACTAGCAAAGATCAGAGATTCAAGGCACTAAATGATGATTTATCATCATCAAAACACAACCACATGTTCAAATTTTCTTTTGGCTTTTGTGCCATAACAAATGTGTTTTATATTCACTCAGTTACAGCAGCCCGAGGAAAAACTGGTGTTATAAAGTCAAGGGTCAAGAGCCCAACTAAAGCAAACACTGACCACTGTCATGGTGTCTTTAAATGAACCTCAATCAATCATCTTCATCTAAACCTCTGTTCATTCACTATAACAACTTCTGTAGATGCATGATAAAAGTTCGACTGGTTAGTAATAAGTGAAGCTGGTAATGCTGTTTGTGGAGTTGTTTAATCGTCCTCTGCTGAGATCTCCAGAGATTTTAATATATTTTATCTTCAGTTGATTTGTTGTGGTTGGAAGTCCGTTGTATCACTTAATTAATCACTTAACAATCACTTAATTAATCACTTAATTTCTTGACTGTAATATCTACTTTTAGTGAACTCAACTGAAATCATTTGAGAGTACTCATAACTATTGTTTTTTATATAAACTTACATGATTTGAGGCAATGGGTTTCCTCAAATGAAAGGAGTTAGCTTAACTCATTGGATTTGACTGTGTGTGTGATATTGTGAGCAAGCAGTAACTGCAAGTGCTCTGAGTTCATTTAAAGTTTGTCAATTCACTTATTAAGCCCGTGAACGCAAACACGACCCGGGATTGATACCGGGACTGATGCCGGGTTGAGGACCTAGTAACATTGCCGGGATCAGTCCCGGAACGCGCGCTGTGTGAACAAAAGCCAGGACCAATGCCGTAAGGGGTGTGTCATAGTGATGACGCTCGTGCCATCGCGCGACTCTGTTGCTCTTAGAAGAAAGTTTGTGCTCGTCATCAACAAAGAAAGGACGGACAAATGTCTGCAAACTGGAGCGAAGCAGAGACCAGGAGCTCCTCACTATCCGCACTGAAGCTGAGATCGCCAGGTCACATTATCCGTGTATTTTCCAGAATCTCTGTGTGAAAGGGGCTTAATAGAGTGAATTTATAGCTATATACAGTTTTACATGCAGTGTAAAGTTAAATTGTGTTTTAAGAAATATTATTATTTTAGTGAACTTGAATAAAATAAGATCAGAGTAATAATAATAAAACTTTATTTTATATAGTGCCTTTAAAAGTAGTATCTCAAAGCACTTTACATAAAAAATAATGGAAATAGACAGACACAACAGTCTAGGCAATAAGAACTAAACAAGCAATAAAATAAAAGGCAAATAAAATAACAATCACAGTGATCACACAATCACATAAAAGCCACCCTAAAAAAGTACGTTTTAAGGGAGGATTTAAAAACTCTAAGTGATTCTGCATTTCTAATCTCAAGAGGGCAGGGAATTCCACAATTTTGGAGCTAAAGAAGAAAAAGCCCGATCACCCATAGTTTTTAGCCGTGTTGTTTGGACGGTTAAAAGACCAGCTTCAGAAGATCGCAAAGCACGTGTAGGAGTGTAGGGGGTTAAGAGCTCACGCAAATATTGAGGGGCCAAGTTATTCAGGGCCTTATAGGTGAGCATGAGAATTTTAAAATCAATACGAAAACTGACTGGAAGCCAGTGCAATTTTTCCAGGGTTGGTGTAATGTGTTCCCTTGCACTGGTCCCAGTCAGAATTCTAGCAGCCGAATTTTAAACCAACTGTAATTTACTTAGGGTAGCTTTAGAAACCCCAGCCAGCAAAGCATTACAATAATCAATTCTTGAAAAAACAAAAGTATTGATTAACTTTTCAGCCACAGAGAATGTCAACAAAGAACGTAATTTGGCAATGTTTCTGAGATGAAAAAATGATGTTTTGACTGTGTTACGAACATGATGGTCAAATGTTAAATTGGCGTCAAATATCACCCCCAGATTTACCCATAAACATTATTTATTTGTATAAACGTAACCCTCTGGGGTCGGCTATCGCGCGGCGCTTTTTTCCTTATCAGCGCAAAAGAGACTCAAATTACTTGATTGATTTTGATCTCACATATAAGTGTTATACATCATTCGATCCTGTTGAGTGTCTATTTTTTGTGGATACTCACAATAAAAACAACTGTTCTGCAACTCTAACTTTTATAATTTCAATGTTTGAATTCAATCCAAACTGAATGTCTCATATATTGAAATTTATGTGATAAAATATTTTCATTGTTGTGCATTAGAAGCACACCAGGCATTTAGTCATATTACAAAATAATTTATTAAAGTATCCAGATACTTCACCACGTGACAGCAGCAAGCAGGCTCTTGATTGGTTGACGCCAAAGTTCAGATTTTTTAACTCAGGCGCCAGATGCAAATTCGCGTCAAACAAGTGTATGCACAAAAAGCAGTAGGCGAAATCATTTGCGCATAACGCGGCAGATGCTCAATGGCAGGAGATTTTTACGTGCGTAACGCGTCTTTGCCTTAACACTGAAATGACTCGCGCCAGATGAACGCACCATTAGTGTCAGAAGTTTCACTTCAAGAAGTCTGTGATACGACGGGCTGGGCCTCGCAGAACATTCCCACAGTGTCTCATTCCCTCCTCAGGGAACCGAGGTTACAGTCGTACTTTTATAATGACGTTACAGTGACACTATATTCTAAATCTTTAAAAGCTCCTTGAAGAGGAGAGATTGATGGTTGAAGGGGTTGAGTTATGTCAAAGTGGACCGCTGTTTTATATGATATAGAAACATTAAAGTCTCTGGCTGGAAACATGACCATGTAAACCACAGGACAAGGTACTTACATTGTGCCACACACCAGCAATTATAACTAAACTGAGAGTCCAAATAGGATGGACGTCAGTGAACACACACGCTATCTGATGCATGAATTCATGTCTTATTGCATGCACAAATTATAAAACATTAGCACTAAAGAAAACATTGTGCATAGCTGCGTTTGTACAAATTGATTTAATTCTGAATTAGGTTGTGGACAGTAGGATGCATCTGCAGCATTAGTGAAGTTCACGGATAACTGTGTGCAAGACTAACTTCATCCTTCTAATGTTAGACTGAATGTTTCTTGTCTCTGCTGTCTTTCAGAACCGGACGCCTCTCGTGTGTGAAGTAACGATGTCAGAAGACTCTCTCTGGGATTTTCTAAATAAGCGTGTTTTGATCAGGTATTTTAGCGTTTACGGGAGGATGCTGAGATGCTGAGAGTTGTCTAACAGCGTCAGTGCCATCCCCGAACTGCAGTGCCATGCCAAGCGGAGCTCGATAAAAGATTGCGGATTAATGAGATGAAAAGATGAGTGGCGACGCGTTCACCTGCAATCCTGAGAACCAAACAACAACAATACGAGATTACCAGCATCAGATCTACGCAGTCTTCTACACGGTGATTCTGGTTCCTGGACTGATTGGCAATGTTCTCGCTCTCTGGGTGTTTTATGCCTACATCAAGGAGACGAAGAAGGCGGTGATATTCATGATCAACCTGGCCGTCGCTGATCTGCTGCAAGTCTTGTCTCTGCCTCTGCGCGTTTACTACTACTTGAATAATTCGTGGCCTTTTGGCAAGTTCGCCTGCATGGTGTGTTTCTACGTGAAGTACGTCAACATGTACGCCAGCATCTTCTTCCTGGCCTCCATCAGTCTGAGACGCTGCCGACTCATCATCCAGCCCCTGCGGTACAGCGGCACCAAGAGGCAGTGGGACCGCCGCTGGTGTTTGTTCGGCTGGCTCCTGGTGGGCCTCGGGTGTCTGCCGTTCCCTCTTCTACGGAAAGACTACGATGATGTTCATTGCTGCTTCTCTGAGCTGCCCATGATGAATCTGACCAAAGCTCAGGGAGTGTCCCTCGTGACCGTGGCCGAACTCACGGGGTTCCTTCTCCCGCTGACCGTGGTGATGACCTGCACGTGCCTGACCGCCGCGAGTCTGCGCGAGAAGACCTGCGTGCTGCAGGACACCGGGGAAAAGCACAAGGCGTTCAAGATGGTGTTGAGCTGCGCTGGAGTGTTCCTGGTCTGCTTCGTGCCCTATCACATCACTTTCCCTCTGGACTTTCTGGCCAAATCCAGCGTGAGCGTCAGTTCTGCCTTTAAGGTCGCAGTCCTCCACATTCATCCGGTCACCTTGTGCTTAGCGAGTCTGAACTGCTGTCTGGACCCAGTGATGTACTACTTCACCACCGACGAGTTCAAGCGCCGCCTGTCCCGGCCCGAGATACAGGAGAGCCTGCAGCTGCACCTCAGAGCGTCCTGCTCCTCCAACCGGGAGGTCTGACGTCTCCCCCAGAGACACGTCGCTCTCACGCACAAAACAACGTCTTTCTGGAGATACGAGGACTGATGAACAATCTTGTTGAAAAATGTGAAAACTTCGCACTGCAGAATCTTTATGAAACTGTGATTTTTATAGACACGAGCCATGAAACTTCACAAATAAATCTGGTTCTGCTCTTGTAAGATTTGATATATTATAATATATATTATTTGAATATATTTTAAAATGTGTTTCCTATGATGACAAGCTGATTTGGTGTAAATCATATTTTTGTTGAAACTGATAAAAACGTACAAGAATTCTTTGATAAATGGAACGAAATGGAAGAAAATAATTTATTTGAAATGCATTGTGTGTGTGTGTGTGTGTGTGTAACAATTTATGACATTTGATCCCTTTAATGCATTCTTGCAGAATACAAGTATAACTTTTAAACGTTGTTACTGAGAATCTGACTAGTAAATAAACAATCAAATTGATGATAAAAAAAAAAACTGATTTTATGACTTTTTTTTGTGTGGGTAAGCAATAATGATACATGCAATAGGTTCTACACTACCGATCAAGTCAATCCCTTAATATTTAATTTTATCCTATGAAATATAATCATTTGAATTAAAATTAATAATATAGACAAATACTATATTGCTGTAATTGTCTAGATTGGCAATATGTTTAATCTGCCCTATATTAAACCATTCCTTTTTTTCCTTCCTTTTTTTTGTTAAAATAAAATTAGTCAATCCAATTCAAGGGACAAAACAAAACCTGCAAGACTATAAAGGTCGCCTTCACTGCTGGGTCATTATAGTTATAGTTATAACTTGTGGTGTTTCTCTGCCTCAGATCAGCGCCGTCCGTCACAACACTGTAAAAAACTGTTTTCATGATTTATCACAACTTTGTTTTGTCAAATGTCCACAAACTGAACACCAGATAATCACCATATTTCGAGGTGCTGAGTAGAGAAAGGGCTTAATTGTGACGGCCCCGGTACAGGAACATGTGAGAAGTGCGTACCGGCCCACTGTGGGCACTGGATGCATCGCAAACAACATTGTTGAGTTTCTCTGTGCCGAGTTTAAACACTTCATCTATACACTAATTATATCTTATTCATCACCACACTATCTCACATCGCTAGCTTCTATCTAAAAAGCTATAATTAGCACAACACGCTAGTCATTTCGTTAGCCTGCACAACACGCTAGTATGGCTAGCCTGTTAACGTGCTTATCAAATTAATTAGTAAGTAATAGCTCACAGATGAAAGTGTTACTAGATACTTCTGTGGGAATTACTAATTATTTGGATTCGTATTATAATGTGAAGATCATTGGAACTAACTAGTAATTACTCAAGTGTTACTACATGATCTAGTCATGATTTGTGCAAACGTTTGAGATTTTTGGTGAACTTTAGTATACTTTTAGAAAATGTCTTTAGTAACACTTGAGTAATTACTAGTTAGTTCCAATAATCTTCACTTTATAATACGGATCCAAATAATTAGTAACTCCCACAGAAGTGTCTATTTCATCTGTGAGCTATTACTTACTAATTCGTTAATAAGAGTTTCTTGTTAGTTAATAGTAGTTTCTAGATTGTTAATAAACTTTTTCAGTAGTTCTCAGGGAAGTATTAAAAAAATAGTAGTTATGCAGTCCCTCCAGGATTTCGCGATGTCGCGATCGCAACTATTAACGCAACTTCAACAAATCCACGTGAATTCAGTGCGCCTTGCAATTTTGAAAAATCACCGCAACTTTGACGAATCATCGCGCCGCGGTCTCCTGCAAAGCGTCGTCATACGTCAGCAAACTCACTTGTTTTGTTCAGAAGACGCAGCAGGTGTGGACTGCCAACGTCTCACATTTAGGCTACCTACAAAAATAACAGAAAAGGCCAATGTTGCCAACTTAGTCTTTGTCGCTATATTTAGTAATATAAAAAAGCGACTCTAGCGGCTTTTTGGACAAACCTCAGTAACCAAATGTTGCCAGCACAATCCTGCGAGCGCGAGGTTTGCTTTCTCCCTGCCGTCGCACCTCTCTCCGCGTCCCTGTTCAGTAGAGGAGCAGCACGGCAGCTGACAGACGCGAATGAGCAGTGTTGTTTCCACGGACTTATCACTTATCTGCTTCTCTTTTGTTTTATATTTAAAGAATTGAGTTTGACCATTTTATTTTCCTTTCTTTTCTTGTGTTTATCACTTGTAATAGGCTACTCACTATCACAGTGCATTATGGCGCTTTTCCACTGCATAGTACGGTACGGTTCGGCTCAGTACGCTTCGACTCGGCGCGGAACAGTTCGGTTCCCTTTGCGTTTCCACCGCAGTAGTACCCCTTCAAAGTGTGTGGGACTGATCGTTATTTGCGCGCGCCTCCACTGCCATGACATCATCTTAAAAGCGCCACATTTTCAAACCCACAACACAGGAACAATGGAGACTATCGAGGGGATGGTGTTCCTGATTCTCGGTATGTGGTTGTTTTTAACTGCTAGACGGAAAAATGTGTTTAAAATGAGGCTGATGGCAGCAAAACAAAAATACTGCTAAAAAAGTGTCTCGTGTCGCAAATCCAATGACGCTAGTAGTGACGATTCTGTCTGACCAATCAGTGATCTGCAGTGTTTCACGTCACATTTTAGTACTGGTACGGTACGCTTGGAACCTCAACAGACCAGGTACCATTTAAAGCGACCTGAAGCGAACCGTACCATGCAGTGGAAATAGCACCACAATTGAGCCATACCGAACCGAACCGTACCGTACTATGCAGTGGAAAAGCGCCTTTAGTTCACCCAGTTCCCGAACTCTCTCAATTCAGAAAATTTTACACATAAAAAATAGCTAGCTGACTCGTTCTATTGTCTGACAAAAAAAAAAGTAAGCAAATGAGAACAGCTTTATTGGATATGCGGCTTTATTATATTATATTAGCTATATTAAAAAACAATATAAAACATTTGATTTTTCCACCATTTCACTTTAGTGGCTATTCCTAAAACTGTATTTTGCACTTTATTAGTATTGGCATCTTTCAACATAAATGCTGCTTAATGTTTGTGAGGTTCTGCACATTGACTTTTTTGCAGGTGCAGATCTTGTTTAAAAAAAAAAAGAAGCTTAGTTTGTTAGGTTTTGCTGTGTCTTTAAATCGTTTGTTTTGCCTTTTATGTTAATGGTTAGTTAGTTTGTTCGTGTGTTACAAAATGTGTGACTTTGTCTCTTAAGTCAATTCTGGACTACAATAGAGCAGATGCAGATGATGAACAGTGTTTTCTGTGGGACATAATAAGTCCCTTTGGGGTGGACTTTGGACTTTTCTCTCTTAGTAAACCTATAACATGCACAAAAAAATATAACAACACAATAAAGGAAAGGGGAAAGGCCAAAAAGCATAATATGGGCATTTTAAGTAAAAATCTATCTATCTTTGCCGTTTTAACCCATAAAAACATGCAGAAGAACATCGCAACTTTTATCGCAACTTTTTAAAAAAGCGGCCGCAACATCAGGCATTTTAGGACGCAACAATCACAAAAAAGGCCCGCGAAATCCTGGAGGGACTGGTTATTAATTACTTAATAGTGAACTACCACTTTTGTCTGTGTGCTATTACTTACTAGTTTGTTAATCAGAGTTTCTTGTTAGTTAATAGTAGTTACTAGATTGTTAATATTGTGTTACTCATTAGTTCTTGTGTAGTTATTCATTAACGAAGGAACCGTATTCTAAAGTGTTACCAAATAAAGGCCTAAATGTATATTTCAGATTGTTTTTTGGACCCGAAGACAAAAACGCTAACATCTCAAAACTGACCAGTAAAAACCCCCAAAAAACGATGTTTTTTCCTGCCGTCACCGTGTCTCGCCTTATAGTGTTATCAGTATTATTTTGGACAAAGTTTTGCACACTTCAATGTACACTTAAGCATGCGTCGTGAATTAGAAATGTGGAAACGGGGTTGTTACTGCAGTAATTTCACGTTCAGTATGGCTATAAATCTCTCCGTTCCAGAATATTTCATTCATAACATCCATCTTTGATTCAGGTGTGCATTCGGAAAGTATGCGAGAAGTGCGATCTAAGTTACCTTTCGTGCTTCGTTACGCCATTTCACCTCAACTTCAAGAGCGAGGGGAAAAAACAGCTTCTGTACGGAAAATGCCAGACTGATCTCATGAAGTAGCGTGTGTATGGTGTATACCATTTTTGGCGTGCTATCAAGACGCATAATCGCTTTTCAGCATGTTTATGAACGCCGTTGACTTAACGTTATTACTGTATATAGAAATATACACTCCCCAGATGTTGATCTACATTTTGCTTCGTTTCGCGCGGACATTTGACGGCGTGTACAAAATATAATTCACACAAACTTTTCAGAAAAATACTAAATATTACATAATTACATACATTTTACCAAATATCAGAAAAGACGGATCCGGAGGGATTTTCATCAGGCGTTTTCCCACTGTTGATCTTTGACACTCGACATTGATGTAAACAATGGATCAGTCCTGTATTTTCAGAATACTTCTCTTCTCGATATCATTCATCTCCTTTAAAATTAGAGAAACGTTGTACCGTAGATCCTGGAACTTGGCCACTGGAACCTAGAAAAGAGAGAGAGGAAATACATCACACACACACACACACACAGTTTTCTACAGAGAAATCTGAACACTTGGAATAACGCACAGGTCTATTTTACGGTATGACTGTATTAATCGCTGTAGTTGAGCTGACGCTCCAGTGTGATCGTGTTTAACGGATGGGGATATTGCCAAGAGGGCTCGTATTTAGGTCTGGCCAACCGACACATTCATGTTGATCCAGCAAAACAACCTGTAATGATTTTGAGATATTTAAGAGCCATATTTGTATCTTTAACCCTTATGCTGCATTAGGGACATTTTTGGTCTTTTGCAGTTTAATTTCTTTGACCATTTTGGCTGTTTTAATGCAAATGGTATGAAATTTGGCAAAATTGTGACTTTTTGGATACATGTAAAAAATGTGATCCCATTTTGCAAAATATGTATAACACACACTGTGTAGATCAAATAGTAACACTCAGCACCATAAAGACCAAAAATGGCCCATTGAAACCCATTAAAACGTTGTTTAAATCTGAGGCTGTCAGTAATACATGAAACATGATTTTTGCACAAACATCCTTTCATTTTGAAGCAAAAGCATTATATTTGCATTATATAGTGTATTCCACCAGATGACGTCACTACATATTTATTCCCTATGGGTGGAAATGCACCTTATTTTAGGCAATAGGCAATGTTTAATAGGTGGCCATTTTTGGTCTCTAACGCGCTAAGTGGGATTCTTTGCAAAGTGGTACTGTGATAATCCAAATCTAAAGTTTTCTCTTTGCATTTAGTTTATTGAAAATAATTGAATTTTTGTGTTTTTTCCTCTTATACAAATCGATGGTTTCGCAAACAAAACTGGTAATTAAAGGGTTAAAATCCTGAAATTGAATACATTTTTGGTAGTTATGATGAGGACTGATGCTGGTTAAAAGATTTAACTTGGTAAAAGTGGAAAATAATAATAATATATAATATTTTAGGCAATGTTTAATATGTGGCCATTTTTGGTCCTTAATGCACTCAACGGTGTTAAAAATCTAATGCAGCACAAGGGTTAAAATCTTTTGTTCTGTATTTTCAGTTCAGTCTACAGGAGAGAAGCAGACCTAATAAAGTCGACTCGTCAGAAACTAAACATGAAGCTGCTAACGTGTGTGTGCTTCTGTTTTAGATGCAGATAAATGAATAATAAATGATGATGATAATGACCTGGAAGCGATGCACGTGTCCATCGGAGAGCTTCATCTGCATGAGGATCGAGGGCTGAAGAGCTCGAGCCAGAGAACTGACAAACACACACACACACACACACGTTATCAATCATATCTGCTTCGGTGCACATCTAACATTATTATTCTACATTTCATTTACAGGCTCTTTCATGACACTCAAACACACCTTACAATGACATTAACCAGTAAAACCAGTCCAGAACAAACATTAAACCACATAAACCACAAATACCCAGGTCATGTGACAAGAACCAACCATCAGCTTCAGCCTTTCCGAAACAACATCGAAAGCTCGGTCGACATGAAGGACGGGCACCACCCAAACACGGGCGGCTTATCTTCTCCGTAAATGAATCTTGTAACCTGCAGAGCTACAGCAAGCGCTTCTCGTGGTGGAAATCAACTAAAACCTCGTAGTCGTCGTGCAGAGCGCAGTGCATGGTTGCCTAGCAACGACAGACGCCACGGGAAAATCGCACCGAATTTTACTATTAACAATAAAAGATAAGCTAATGTCAGTAATTTATCTTTCTTGACTATTATTTTTATAAAAATGATTTAAAAGGCTGAAATGTGAGGTTTATCTTTTTTAAAAAAACTTTTTTTCCTAAAAACTTAATTTGCACTTTTTAACTCTGCATTGTTAATTGCAATACTGCACATTATTTACTTTTCAAAGGCTTGTAAGCTACAGTTTGCAATAAATGTTGTCCAGCATTTGCAAGCTGCAGAATCTCTCCAGTCAGAAACATATATTGTGTAATTGATGTTCTTAGTGTTCAGTTCAATTAATTCAATCCTCGTAAGAGTTTGTATGGACAGAAGTGCATGCCTGCGCTTGTACGTATTTTGGGCTAAGCTGCATTGCTTTGACATTGTGGAAAATAGAATAATACAAACAAAATGTTTTATCCTTTTTATCTGTTATTATCAATCTAAATGAATCTGACTGAGGTTTTACTGGGACCGCGCGTATCCATTTCGCTTTTCCTTGATTGGTTTTCCCTGAACAGAATTAGGCTACGTTGTTGAAAACGAAAGTGTAAGACGCACATTCATTGCGTTTTTACCGTGATGAGAGTTTCTGTGTCTTTATTAAACTCAGCACATTATAATGATTCATCTGTCATCCACCTTTGATTAACTGGAATGTTTTATTCCTTGGCCCGCCGATCCGCGCATCACTATCGGCACACTATATGGTTTGAGAATGGACACGGGAACCCGCAACAGAACGGTTACGATGGGAAAAGGGTATCTGAGCATCTGATGAGTTTTGTCGAGAGCCTGTGTGTGTATTACATCACTAATGCAGTGTCCGTTCTCAGAGCACGCGCCGCTCCTGTATACATCTACCCTACTTTGTCAGTTATTTGTTAGTCAGTTGTAAGTTAGCAGACATGTGTGTGTGTGTGTGTGTGTGTGTGTGTGTGTGTGTGTATTGCAGTGTCCGTTCTGAGAGCATACGTTCTGCTCGTGTGAGGCGCGCCGCTTCCCTCGCGCTGTTCTGTAGTTTATTAAAGTTTATTCATTCTGAACGTGACTCGCCTGTCTATCTATATTGCACCATAAAGAGATTTCGAAGCTTCGAATATTCGATGTTCATTAATACCGAAGCTTCAAAGCTCAAAAAATGGTATTCGGACCAGCCCTATTGCTATAGTAACGAACGCATGTTTTTATAACTTTAATGCGCATCTGATTGATGGATAAACCGCACGCTCTTATTTCAGTGTTAATGTTGTGGTTATTTCAGCAGTTTCGTATGTTTACCCGAATGTGAACTCTAAATGTAAAAGGACAATTATTGCTTCAAATGCAGTTTTTCAGACGTTTCAGTTCTTCGTGTCTTTATGAAACGATCAGGAATACTGTACCTGACTGAATCATGACTCCTGTACCTGACTGAATCATGACTACTGACTGAATCATGTCTACTGTTCCTGAGTGAATCATGACTACTGTACCTGACTGAATCATGACTACTGACTGAATCATGACTCCTGTACCTGACTGAATCATGACGACTGTACCTGACTGAATCATGACGACTGACTGAATCATGTCTACTGTACCTGACTGAATCATGACTACTGTACCTGACTGAATCATGTCTACTGTACCTGACTGAATCATGTCTACTGTACCTGACTGAATCATGACTCCTGTACCTGACTGAATCATGACTCCTGTACCTGACTGAATCATGACTCCTGTACCTGACTGAATCATAACTACTGTACCTGACTGAATCATGACTCCTGTACCTGACTGAATCATGACTCCTGTACCTGACTGAATCATGACTACTGTACCTGACTGAATCATGACGACTGTACCTGACTGAATCATGACGACTGTACCTGACTGAATCATGACGACTGTACCTGACTGAATCATGACTACTGACTGAATCATGACGACTGTACCTGACTGAATCATGACTCCTGTACCTGACTGAATCATGACTACTGACTGAATCATGACGACTGTACCTGACTGAATCATGACGACTGTACCTGACTGAATCATGACTACTGACTGAATCATGACGACTGTACCTGACTGAATCATGACTACTGACTGAATCATGACTACTGTACCTGACTGAATCATGACGACTGACTGAATCATGACTACTGACTGAATCATGACGACTGTACCTGACTGAATCATGACGACTGACTGAATCATGACGACTGTACCTGACTGAATCATGACTACTGACTGAATCATGACTACTGTACCTGACTGAATCATGACGACTGACTGAATCATGACTACTGACTGAATCATGACTACTGTACCTGACTGAATCATGACGACTGACTGAATCATGACTACTGACTGAATCATGACGACTGACAGAATCATGACGACTGTACCTGACTGAATCATGACTACTGACTGAATCATGACTACTGTACCTGACTGAATCATGACGACTGACTGAATCATGACTACTGACTGAATCATGACTACTGACTGAATCATGACTACTGTACCTGACTGAATCATGACGACTGTACCTGACTGAATCATGACTACTGTACCTGACTGAATCATGACGACTGTACCTGACTGAATCATGACGACTGACTGAATCATGACGACTGTACCTGACTGAATCATGTTTACTGTACCTGACTGAATCATGACTACTGTACCTGACTGAATCATGTCTACTGTACCTGACTGAATCATGACTACTGACTGAATCATGACTCCTTTACCTGACTGAATCATGACTCCTGTACCTGACTGAATCATGACTCCTGTACCTGACTGAATCATGACTACTGTACCTGACTGAATCATGACGACTGTACCTGACTGAATCATGACTCCTGTACCTGACTGAATCATGACGACTGTACCTGACTGAATCATGACTACTGACTGAATCATGACGACTGTACCTGACTGAATCATGACTCCTGTACCTGACTGAATCATGACTACTGACTGAATCATGACGACTGTACCTGACTGAATCATGACGACTGTACCTGACTGAATCATGACTACTGACTGAATCATGACGACTGTACCTGACTGAATCATGACTACTGACTGAATCATGACTACTGTACCTGACTGAATCATGACGACTGACTGAATCATGACTACTGACTGAATCATGACTACTGACTGAATCATGTCTACTGTACCTGACTGAATCATGACTACTGTAACCTGACTGAATCATGACTACTGACTGAATCATGTCTACTGTACCTGACTGAATCATGACTACTGTACCTGACTGAATCATGTCTACTGTACCTGACTGAATCATGTCTACTGTACCTGACTGAATCATGACTCCTGTACCTGACTGAATCATGTCTACTGTACCTGACTGAATCATGACTCCTGTACCTGACTGAATCATGTCTACTGTACCTGACTGAATCATGTCTACTGTACCTGACTGAATCATGACTACTGACTGAATCATGACTCCTGTACCTGACTGAATCATGACGACTGTACCTGACTGAATCATGACTACTGTACCTGACTGAATCATGACGACTGTACCTGACTGAATCATGAAGACTGACTGAATCATGTCTACTGTACCTGACTGAATCATGACTACTGTACCTGACTGAATCATGTCTACTGTACCTGACTGAATCATGTCTACTGTACCTGACTGAATCATGACTCCTGTACCTGACTGAATCATGACTCCTGTACCTGACTGAATCATGACTCCTGTACCTGACTGAATCATAACTACTGTACCTGACTGAATCATGACTCCTGTACCTGACTGAATCATGACTCCTGTACCTGACTGAATCATGACTACTGTACCTGACTGAATCATGACGACTGTACCTGACTGAATCATGACGACTGTACCTGACTGAATCATGACGACTGTACCTGACTGAATCATGACTACTGACTGAATCATGACGACTGTACCTGACTGAATCATGACTCCTGTACCTGACTGAATCATGACTACTGACTGAATCATGACGACTGTACCTGACTGAATCATGACGACTGTACCTGACTGAATCATGACTACTGACTGAATCATGACGACTGTACCTGACTGAATCATGACTACTGACTGAATCATGACTACTGTACCTGACTGAATCATGACGACTGACTGAATCATGACTACTGACTGAATCATGACTACTGACTGAATCATGTCTACTGTACCTGACTGAATCATGACTACTGTAACCTGACTGAATCATGACTACTGACTGAATCATGTCTACTGTACCTGACTGAATCATGACTACTGTACCTGACTGAATCATGTCTACTGTACCTGACTGAATCATGTCTACTGTACCTGACTGAATCATGACTCCTGTACCTGACTGAATCATGACTACTGTAACCTGACTGAATCATGACTACTGACTGAATCATGACTACTGACTGAATCATGTCTACTGTACCAGACTGAATCATGACTACTGTAACCTGACTGAATCATGACTACTGACTGAATCATGTCTACTGTACCTGACTGAATCATGACTACTGTACCTGACTGAATCATGTCTACTGT